AATTTCATATATTGGTTATTATGGAGCAAGTCTCTTAATCTACATATTTTGATTGTAATATTCTTTCTATACTTCTCCTTCAACTTCTTTCTTGATTTTTAGTAATAATGATGTTAATAGTTGATGTTATAGTTTTAATATAATGGTAGTAATCATCTAATGTATTGATTAATATTTCATTTGTATTAATGATATTAATTATTTGATGTATTTTGTTTTTATTGTAATAATAATTAATAAATAATACTTCTTCTTGTTATTTTATTTATTCTTCTTTATTTATTCTTATTACCTCCTCTTCTTGTATTTCTTTTTTCTTATTTATTCTGGCTATTAATTCTTTTAATTTAATATCTTTCAATTGATGTGTTATTATTTCTTCTTCCATTCTTCTATTGACTTCAATTTTAATTTCTTTCTTTATTTTATATGTTTTCTTTAATATTTCTTTATATTCATTAATATCTTCTATTTTAATTTCAATTTCATGTATTAATCTTTTTATTTCTTCTTCTTTAAGTTGTTTTCTTAATTTGATTTCTAATAACTTCAGTGCAAAACATTTATAGAATGTTAGAATTTATTCTTCTCTATTTGTTTGCTTCCCCCGTTTTTTTTTGAATGTCATGATCAGATGTGGTGATCTTCTTATACTGAACTCCCATCTCTTCGATTGAATTCTGTGTTAACTTTCTTTTTTGGAAGATCATCTTCGCTTGATGACATTTCATCAGTTACTACCACATTGGGGGTGAGGTCATTCACAATTTATGTTTCAGATGAATCAGATATAATGTGATTTATCTCTTCTTTCTTCTTTTCTTATTGTGTAATTTTATTTTGTAATTTAGATAATTTATCTTTCATAAAGTATACTTGTTGTGATAAATTATTACTTCAGACATTTTCCTTTCTGATTCAGCATTGAATTCGAATAATTTTCTATCAATTTCTTGTTTTTTTAGTGTTTATCTTATTCTCATGCTTCTTCTTTAATGACACAATGTCATTTGATAATTTATTAATGGTCTGGTCATTCTTTTGTATTTCTTCATTTCTTCTTTCTCTTTAATATTCTCTTCTTTTCTTTTCTTTAATTCTTCTATTCTTTTATCTTTTTCATTGTTCTTTTCTTCCTCTTCTTTTAATTTCATCTTTTCTTTTTCATTATGCCTCTTCTTCTCTTCATTGTCCCTCTTTTCCTCAGCAATCCTCTCCTTTCTCTCTTTTATTAGCCTCTCTTCCTCAGCAAGTCTCTTCTTCTCCTTAGCAAATTCATTTTCATCATCATTTTCATTATTGTATATTTCTTATTTAAGTATTTATCATTTATTTCTTTTTGATTTAGTTGTTTGTCATCTTCTTCATTTGTCATACTGATCGTTTCTCCATTCTATTTATTTTTGTTTTTTCTCTTAAAAGTAAATACCATTTTCTCATTATTGTTGATTATATTCTTTAATCGTAGTGTTCTTAATTTATTCTATTTCTTGTAGTGTAAGTATTTTGGTTTCTTCTTCAAATAATCTTTTCCAATATTCTTGTTTTGTATTTCTATCATTTCTTTTATTTCTTATTTGTTGTTGTCTTTTATTATGGTATTGTTTATATCTGTGTTGTGTTTTATTATGTGATTTATTTGTATTATAATATTGATTGATTCTATTTGAATTAATGATAAAATACTTATGATGATGAAAATGAATGAAGTGATGAGTGAAATGATTCTTACCATTGTTATTATAATTATTATGATAATTGTTATGGTGATAGTTAATATTATGGTAATGATTAATGTGATGATTAATGTATTTCTGTCCATACAGATAATACGTATTTTCACTCCTTCTTCTATCATTTATATTTCTTGATTGATATGGATTTCTCCTTCTTTTGTTATTGATTTTTTTATAATTTTTGTTGTGTTTCCTGTAATGCTTCGGCATCTTTTAATAAATAAAATCAATATAATATAAATAAAATAATAACAAACATAAAGAGAAAGTAGATATAAAATATAAAAATATAATCAAAATGAAAATGAGATAATGAAATGTATTCATATATAAGAAATTATATATAAATAAAAATATATTAATATATAAAATAAAATATAAATAATGAGAATATCAAACTAATAAAATATGATAAATATAAAATATAAAAATAATATGATGATATATAATGTAAGAATAAAAATAAATATAATAATAAAATATATAAATATATAAAAATAAAATACATAAATAACGGTCACGAAATTATGCATTTTATTCGTATTCATCTTTATATTATTATATTGATTTGTGATGTTGTTTATTATTTCATAATTGTTGTCTAAATGTAATGAGTGTCTTCATTGTTTGTTTAAAACTTGGTGTTTATGTTTGATAGAATATTGAAATGAATTATCATGTTGCAAATTAATTCTTGTTAATTGTTTAAAAGGTAAAAAAATAGTAGAAAATATTATTAGATGGAAATATTTGTGATTAAATATGAGAAGAAGATATTTGTACATTATTAGTTATATCTTTCTACTTCGATTTCTGTATTAAATGAATATATCTGTTGATGAAATTGAAATTGAAATAAAATAAATATAAAATGAAAATGATAAAAGAAAGAATAAAGAAAATAATAAGAAAATAAATATAATGATTAATGATAAAATTAATGAGTTATTATCATGAATGAAAGTTGAAAATGAACATTAAATTCATTATTGTTAATTATAAATGTTTAATTTATATTACATATTAAATAGTCATTCTTCATTCTGTATTAGTGTGTTGATGTTTAAATTATTTAATTTGTTATTATCATATCATCATTTCATTGACATTTGTTATTTATTATCTTTTTATTTGTTTTATCATTTATCTCTTTTTTTGATATGATAATATAAATAATTTAAATTGTATATTATCATAATTCATCATTGATAATCATCTATGATATAATTTAATTTTCATATCAATAATTATATCATTTAAATAAATAAATAATAACATTTGTTAACATATCATTATGATATCTCATCAATATGATAAATGAAATATAACATATTTACACATTAATAACAATACGATTGATATTCATATTTATATAATCATTGTTATTCATAACTAACATTATAAATTTGAATTAACATAATATTCTTCTTTATTACATTTCATAATGATATTTTCACATTAAAATAGAATTGATGGTAAATGAAAAGAAATAAAGAATAATATAAAATGAACAAATTTATGAATAAATATACTCAACAAATCAATATACATCATACTCAAAACAACAAGAAGTTACAAAATGTCAACTGATTGTTATAGATTTCATATTTTACCTACTTTTTATTTTATTTTATATTTTTATAATTTTAAGATAAAATAATATAAAACAGAATAATCTAATAATCAAAAAATATATTACACTATTTTCAATTGATCAATTTATTTAGATTCATAATTTCTTCGCTTATTTTGGTTCCCCACAAATAACATATTAATAAAATAATAATAAAAATGTATACTTATATTGAATCAAATATCATTTCTGTTTCACTTATATTTCAGAAAAATTGATCATAAAATGATATAAAATATAAACAAACATATATGATTATAGAATCTGTATTTAATTTATTTTTTATTTAAGAAAAAATAATAAAAACTATTATTTTATTGATTCAAAATATTTTTCCCTTTTCTTTTTGGGGGTGTTTTTTATTTAGATGCATTAATTCTTTACTTATTTTAGTTCCCATATATTTCTAGTATTTGTAATAATATGATTTTCAAATTATGAAGATTAAAATAAACATAAATTCACTATGAAAAACAATAAAAATTATACTCAAATAAAATACAAAATATAATCAATAAAATAATACATTCATTTTAATTTAAAATAATTATTTAACTAAACTAAAAGAGAGTTCAACTATTATCATTTATTGAATAATAGAATCAAATAAATCAAAGATGTATTGTTTTGATATTATCTTATAAACATATACAATTAAATAATACTTTAAGAAATAAGAAAATAACATGTTTATATGTAAAATAACATTAATATTAATTTAATTCATTGTATTAAATTATTGGTTTCATCAGTTTGAATTTAAATCAAGTAATGTTAAATAATAATAATAAATAAATAATAAATAAGAATATAATATCATTATATGAATTATCAATAAAATATTTATTATTTTAGAGAATAATACATTTTATTCAATAATATATTTTTATTATTTAGAGGATAATACTTCAACTTCATTTTAAAAATATTTATTTTAACAAAAATAAATAAATAATATGAGAATTAAAAAAAAATGTAACCTATTACAGATTATAATAATCTATACTTATACATCTTTATCAATTTATTAGATAAAAAGATATAATATCATACTTTAATTATCTGAGAATACACTATTCTTTAAAATATAATAAATGTTATTGAATATAAGATATAATAACACACCATCAATTAAAAAAGTAAAATTTTACTATGTTGATAATTTTTTTGAAGTATATTAAATTTCGAATTTATAACTAAAAAAAAAGAAACAAAATAACATTAGAAAAAGAATTATGTAATCTTATTTCTTATAAAATTATAGAATGTTAAATTGATTTTAGTTCAAAAGAATAAAAAATAAATAATTATAAATATTTTTAGTTTTACATAGAAACTTTTTATTATAAAATAAATTAAAATTAAAATACTATAGATAAAATTAGATTTAATTTTTTTTTTAATTCTTTATTTTTCATAAGTAAATCATGAATTCTTCATAATCATTCTACTTTGAACATTTTAAAAAACGTATTAATGAAAGAGGAATTGAAAACTTCAAAAAAAAAATCAACAAAAAAATCATAAATAAACTATTCTTTTATTCTAATTATAAAACAAATGATGCTATTGAATTGGCTTGACAAAAGTAGTTATTTAACGTAAAAAGAACTTCAATTTTTATTTAATATATGTCAAAAAGAACAGTTAAAGCTACAAAATCCCAGAAAGAAAACAATCTATCTTCTCTAATGAAACTAAAATCAACAAATAACAAAAGAAAGTATATCTTATCTGGATGTTATTATCTGATAACTAAAGGATGGTCATTTCTTTTTTCAAAAGAGAAAAGAACAGCAAAAAAGTTAGACCATTTCTTCCCGATTCAAAAAATATGGAATCAAAATGGGGTAATAATGTTTGATGAAAACCTTGAATATGATTTAATTATAACAGAAACAGGAGTTGTTCAATTAAATTTTGATAATGAAGGAATTCCTATAAAGAAAACATCAATTGAGACAGATAAAACAAAAAATAAAAAGAAATTAAATTATAATGAACTTGTTATTATGAATATTCTTAATGAATATTATAATAAATATGAAGATATTGGGTGTTATACTAAATTACTTTATACAAAAAGTTCAAAAAATGGAGTTAGCAGTCAACAATATCAAAAACTCCCTTTAGTAAATAAAGATGGTGAAGTTATTGGTGTTTATAAGAATGAAGAAGTTTTAGAAAAAATTGGAACTCCAGTATATAATTTTCTTTGTTCATATTTATTAAAAACATATAAACATCAATCAAAAGGTCTTTTTATTGGGAATAAAGACTATTATAATGAAATATCTAATAATAATAACACCAATGATCAAAATAATATTAAATTATCAAAAGAAAAGTTCTTAGAATATCCAATTTTTGATGAATATCAATTTAATTGTATTAATGACCATATTAGTTCTCAAGTATTAGAACATTGTTCGTATATTGAATCTGAACCATTCCAACAATTAGATAAATACACAGAAGCTTTACAACAAGAATTGGATATTATTAGCCATAGTGGTTCATCGGAAAATATTCTATCATATAATAATATAGACTCGCATTTTATTGACAACCAATACACACAGACTGATAATAATGTATTATTAATTAATGTAGATCCAGGATTGATGAATTTTGAGAATTTAAATTATAATGAAACTATATCACAAAATAATCCAGATTTTGTTGATATTAGTTGTTTCGCAAAAATAAACTGTGATTATTTGCAACCAGATTCTCTGTCAGAGATGTCCTTTGAAAAATGCGGGTTTATTCAAAATATATACCATTATGAATAAATTCAATTTTTTTTTAAATAATTTTTGGTTGTTTTTATGAAGAAATTCAAATAATATTGAATTTGTTTTAATTTTTTTTTTTGAAAGTTAATTAATGGAAAACAAAAGATATTAAATAATATGAACTAACTTATTTATAAAATTCTTCGAATAATAAGAAAAATAAAATCATAGTATAAAAATAATAAATAAACAGAATAACTATTGAACTGATTCATTAACAATGAATATTCTTAATCTTTATTAGTGTAAAATAACAAATAGAATATAAAAGTATAAATCTAACAAATAAGAATATAGAAACAATAATGGAATAACAAATTATATTAATGAACATAAACTAGAAATGATGGTCTTTGATAGAATAAATAAAAGTGATAAAAGAAAATAATATTTACATTCGTCTTTAAATAAATACCATTATTTTTACTGAATAAAGTTTTATTGTTATATCTAATTAAAATAAAATCAATTGCTTAATGTTAAATAAATTTTGATAAAATAATGAAAATAGTAACCAAATCAATTGTAAATGGCTTATAAAAATAATCATTAATAATACTACAATATGGGTGTCTCATAAACACTATTATTGACTATAATAAACAAATCATTAGTGTTAAAACTAACTCATTCTTTCAAATAAAAATAATGAATTAAATAAAATAAAGTTAATATAAAATGAAATTATATTAAATGATGAGTAATTGAATAGTAAAATAATTTCTAATTTCTTATTCAAATAATAAATTGAATTATAATAAAAATATTGATTCTGGTTCATTTTATTTAATTATGAAATATTTTTGTTCTGCTATTATTTATGAAAATTACAATCAAATGAAATGATGATTATTGTTAAACTTCTCTTATTTTTTATCATTTAAAAAGTGTTAATAATGAGTATGTATAATAAAAAGTGAAATAATATCAATTATATTGATAAAAATAATATAAAAAATATATGAATCAATAATAATTTAAAATAAAATAAATTTATATTGAAATATATAAAATATTATATCCATTTATCTTTGTATTTGAAATATATTATTAAAACTAAGATAAAAATAAAGAATAAAAATTTAATTATATTTGCTATACTTAGATTATTTATATATAACATTTACTTCATTACTCTTTTTCTTTTCTTTTAATAGATTTAAAAGAGTATTGTAATAAATGTTATGTTATATAACTACAGTCTAAGTAAAGTAAATCATATCAAATATCTTATTCTTGTTATTTTTCTCTTACATTGACTATGCCTTTTAAGCTTGATTCATCAATATTAGAACATCCTGTTTGTTCAAATAGAATTGGAACTGGTGAATTTAGTAAATTATATCCCTTATAATAATCATTTGGTAATATACCACCAATTAAATTCAAATTCTAATAATAATAAGGTATTTGAACACAATTACTCAAATAACAATCAGGTATTTGTTCTATTTGATTAGGATTTTCTTTATCATAATTACTTTCTGAACAATATACTTTAAAATTATTGAATAGTGGTGTGATAATAATATTAGAATCAGTCTCTCTAATAATTCGTCTACACCCCTTTCTTGTTTTACCTTCTTCAATTCTAATTTCTTTAATAAGACATTTATTGACTTTTTCCCCTTTTTCATATATTTCTTCTTGCCTTATCCCATTAAATGTTAATATCCTTTCTCTTTTATCCATTTTACTACTTCCTTTTATTTTCTTATAATTAATTTCGTTTCCATAATTACTTAATTCTTCAAGTAAAATCTCATAACTAATATTTTCGTATGACTTATCTTTATCTCTTTGTTCTACTTCTTCATTATTTTCTTGTATAAATTTTCCTATTCTTTAAATCTTTTATTAATTTCTTCTTGAATCCTTTCATCACAAACAGAAATAATATTAAAATTTTGAAGCCCTTCTTCATCATTCTTTGTTTTTCTTTCTAGTTCTAAACTAATACCACATCTTATTACACATCCAATAATAAAGCTTTTTTCTTTAATCTCATTAGAAACTGATTTTCTCTTCTTATCAGTTGATTCACTAATAGATTTAGTTGACTTCTTAATAATAGACATTGTAATGATATTAGTTAAAAACTATGTTGTTTTTATATACCTCTTGAAATTTTATGTTTATTATTATTATTCTTTTTCTATTTTATTGTAGTTTACTTTTAAGTAAGTCTTTGAGAATTTAGATTTTCTAGTTCATGTTATTTTTTGGTTATTTATAGAAGAAAACGATTTTTCAACATCAATTCTTTGAATAAAATTCTTCTTTTTATCAATTATTTCTTTCATGAATTGCTTGAATAACAAATTTCAAATTTTTTGGTTTAAAAATCATTAATTAACAACTTTAAAAATAACTAACAATTTAATATTTTCATCTTAGAAAATATCAAATA